AAGTAAAGGACAAAAGATAAGATGAATAAAAAAAAATTCCAAACGTTAAATAAAATAAAAAAGTATTTTTTCGGCAATAAAACTAAAAAAAAATTTTTTTTAAAAGAATTCCTTGCCGAGGATTGAACTCGGATCTCTTGAATGGCACGAGCCACTCACTGGGCCATTGCTACTATTACAGTAACGTTATCGAAATTAAAATTTATTGAAAACACACAAAAAATTTCAAAATCATTCGTTAAAAAGTTAAGTAAAGGTTTTTGTTTGCTTAACTTTAATCTATATATTAATGCGCTAACATAAATTTTGTCTCCGTTCGTTTGGCGATTCTACCGAACACCGTTGGAAAGGCATTTTTCCGTAGATGAGCAGAGTTTTTATGGTTTCACAACTGGTGGAAAATTACGTCCAAAACCGTCGTTTAAACATTTTCGAATTGTGTATAGATGTTGCTGCACATGTTCAATTTGACACGTTTCGCCTGTTGTTTCACTACACATTTGAAATTAAGCTTTGAAATAAAGATAAATATGAAGATGAAGAAATAAATGATAACGATGAAGTCAAAAAAAGGAAGGCAGAAGTGAAGATAAAGACGAAAATGTAGACAATGACAGATACATAAGAATTAGGGTAACTGAAAGGGTAAGAACATTTCTTGAACTTATGAAGTGAAACTTCTTTAGCGGCAGTTGGTTGGTTGGGAGTAAATTGTCAAATTTAAGGCGAATAATGCACATGGAAATGGTTCTCAGCGGTTTAGCGGTTTGAGAATAAAAACAAAAACAAAGATGCCTAGAGGTACAGGCAAAAACGAAGATCAAAGTAAATTTAAACACTTTAAGGTGAAGGTGAAGAGGAATATGCAAAAATAAAGATAAATATGAAGAAAAGGATGAGGATATTCTTATCGATATAATAATCGATATTGCTATCGATAAAATAATCGATATTGTTATCGATACTGTTATTAATTAAATAACCGCTATTGTAATCGATATAATAATCAATATAATAATCGATATTGTTATCGATACAATAATGGATATTGTTATCGGTATAATAATCGATTAAATAATTGATTTTGTTATCGATTTAGTCATTTACATATATTGTTAACGATATGTACAATAAGCGATACTGATGATTGTTATATTTGTCGCTGAATTAATCGATTTTACAATCGTTGTATTTTTCTATATGTGTATGGATATTGTTATCGGTATTTTTATCAACGCAGTTATCAACAGGGTTATCGATACACTAATCGGAACATGGAATGTGATCACAATACATGACATCACATCACATTTTATCACATGATATGAAGAGACATCACATGATTTTGCATCGCATAATATGATATCACATCACACGATATCACGTGACATGACATTATATGATATAACATCACATTATATGGCATGACATCACATGACGACATCACATGATATGACATGACATGGCATTACATGACGTGGCATCACATGATATGACATCATATGGTATGACATCATATGACATGACATCAGAGGATATGACAACACATGACATGACATCCTATCACATCACATAAAATAACGTCACATCTTATCACATCATCGCACCTCATCACATCTACGTGAATAGAAAAAGAAAAGGATATAAGCAAAGATGTGAAAGATAAAAACAAAGATGAAGACCAAGGTAAAGTTACCGATTTCAAAACCAAAAACACCGTTGGAAAGTAATTTTCTGTAGATGAGGAGAGTTTTTATAGTTTCGAAATTGGTTGAAAATCGTCGTTTAAAAATTTCCATATTTGTTAATGGTTGTTTTTGCAACCTGTTTAATTCAAGCGTTTCGCATTTTGTTTTACTTCGTATTTGAAATTAAACTTTGAAATAAAGATAAATATGAAGATGAAGAAACAAGTGATAACGATGAAGACAAAAAAAGGCAAAAGTGAAGATAAAGACGAAAATTGAGATAAAGGCGAAAATGGAGACAATGAGAAATACATAAGAATTAGGTTAAAAGAGCTGAAATTTTCCGATAGGAATCGAAATAAAATCAGCCATAAAGGTTACTGAAATTTATCGAATCATCGAAGTTTATAATTATCGAAATTTATCCATGCTTATTAAGTTATCGCAACGTATCGAATTATTCAAACTGATCAATGTTTACTGAGTTGTCGAAATTTATAGACACAGAAACTTAGTTGTCCAAATTTACGGATAGTTATCGAGCTATAAAAACGTGTGGGATTAACGTAATTTGTCAAGTTAAAGAAATTTATCAAGTTATCGATATTTATTGAATTATCATTATTTATAGACTTAACGAAATTTATCGAGTTGTAGTAATGCATGGAGTTCTTTCAACTTACAGTTATCGATAATTATTGATCTACTGAAATTGGTTGATTCATCGAATCGAAGTTTATGGAATTTTCAAAATACATCCATTAATCGAAATTTCAAGATTATATAAGCTTATCGATTTATCACTTCTTATCGAATTTTATCGTGCTAACAGAGTGTAATGAGTTATAAAAATTTTTCGATAGCTTTCGAAAAATGTGGAGCTGTCAAAAGTAAAAATTTTTAAAGGTATCCATAGAATTTACATTTTTGAGTTATCGAAATTTATCGAGCCCTCGAATTTCACAGTTATTGAGTCGAGTTAACGAATTTTGTTGAGTTATCGGATTTTAGTGTTTTTGAAATTCATCGAACTATCGATATGTATCAAATCATTAATATTTATCGATAATGTATCGGGTCAATTCTAAGTCCTGCTGAAGTCCAAAGACCTTCTAAGATAAAAAAAAATTTAGTTTCGTTTTAGTTTCAAAGGAGAAGATGTTCCGGTAAGTTAATTTGTACCGTATAAGTTTTGGTACGTGTTACGTTAGAAACCCTCTCCAAGGCTCCTAAAAACTAGAAAAACTGTCGAATTTCGACAGTAACTGGCACTCTAGTGCTCATTAAATGCCGTTAACGAATCATTAAGGAAGGAACTTTTTTCAAATCGTTACTGAGGGACACCTTAAGTAATCATTAAACGACTCTGAGTGTGGCTGTTAGAATCATTTCAAAACAAAAATAAAGTAAAGTTATTTTTTTAAATAAAAATTTATTTTAAAACCAGACCTGTTAAATAATGATTAAAAATTATAATGATTATTAATTAAAGCATGTTTATTGGATAACCGTTTAATGATTAAATACCATTATTTGCACCTTTTCAATGAATAATAATTAATTACTTTCAAAAAAACAATTGATTAATTAATTAATCGATTTTAATTAGACCATTATTTTATTATTTTTGATTATTTTAAATTATTTTTATTTCTTTTTTAACATGATAAATATAATTATCTGATTATTTTTGATTCATTTTAATTGCATGATTAATTGATTAGTTTCAATTTTTTTTTAATTTTTTAAATTAAATTATTAGTATAGTTCTTTTTGATTATTTAATTACATGATTATTTTGGATTCTTTTTAATTGCATGATTAATATAATTATTTGATTAGTTTCAATTGGTTTTGATTTTTTTTAAATTAAGTGATTAGTATTATTATTTTTTATTATTTTGAATTATTTTTTATTATTTTGAATTATTTTTTATTATTTTGAATTATTTTTTATTATTTTGAACTATTTTTGGTTTTTGTTTTCAATTTTATGATTTATTTCAACTTATCGTCACTAGACACGAATAAATTCGCGCTAGTGTTACGACGGCGAAAAAAGACGCATACAAAAAAATTTTACGAAAAAAGGCGCTTAAGAAATACTTCGGCGAAGAAAGACGCGTAACCTAGTTGACGGCGAAGAAAAACGCGACATCATAGATCTATGCTTGGCCAAGGACTGTCACTTCAGCATTATTCCCCAAAAACTATTTACGGAATGTACATACTATTACACCGGCAAACATAGTTGACCGCGAAAATAAGTTTACGCGACCTTCTTCGCCGTCAAATATTTTAACGCGTCTTTCTTCGCCGTCAACTATGTTGAGACTTTCTTCGCTGAAGTTTTTATCGTGCGCATTTTTTCGCGGTCAACTTTTGAGCTCGCGCCTTTTTTCGTGTCTAGTGACGTTATGAATAATACATTGCAACGCTGTTAATATACATATGATGAGAATCAATACAGTAATACAAGGAAAACAACAAAAGCGCAAAAATGCTAAAACCAGCACTATTTGTTTTGTTATTTTATTTGCTAATTTTTTGTAAAAATAGTATCCATCTACAATAAACACGAAAACTACACATATGTACATCAGATTTCCAAATTTGGTGTAAAACTTGGTTTCAGTTATACATTACCTTAATATAGAAAGGCCCTAACTCATTTTCATTTCGAATCCAGATCTATACAAAATCTGTCTGTTAGACGAAATTCGAAACTGTAGATAAGGCCTTTCTATATTAAGGCCACACAGCTTCATCTATTTGGAAAAATAATCATTTATTAGAAATAATCAAATAATGAAACAATTAAAAACAATCAAAAAATTTAAAAAATCATTTGATTAATTTGATTATTTCTAATTATTTGATTATTTTTAATTATTTGGTTACATTTGATTATTTTTTAATGGCACTTATCAGGATTAATTTTGATTATTTTTAATTATGATTAATTATTAATTGCTGGGTTATGTAAGAAAATTAAAATAACCATTAAAATAAAAGAATCAAAAAATTAAAAAAAAATTATGATTACTAATCTCAATGGAAATTTAACAACTCTGTGTAAAACATCAGTAAGAATTTTGGTATGACAGTAGAATTTTCGACTGGATAAACACTTGATTACATTCAAGGCTTAAGTAAAGAGGAGACAAAATTATCATTATGCGCATTCCATTTATACCTGTTTGCTGCTGAATATTACACCTAAGATTATCAATCCACCTTTGCATTATTGCTTTGAAAGACATTGCAAACACAGTTTCTCATTCTGTTTCTATATATTTTTTATATTTGCAGATGTTTTCAAATTCGATGAACAGTATGAAACTAATGAAGACAAATACAAAGGTCTTAGTAAGGAGATATTGGAAAGTGAAGCAAGTGGTAGTGACCCTGGCTCTGGCTCTGGCAGCGGCTCTGAGAGTGAGTCGGGCGATTCATCAGATTCTGAACAAAAAGGACAAGACGGCGATCAGGTTACAACCGGTGATATTATCGACAACACCGAAACTAATATCATTGCTTTAAGGCGTACTATATATCTTACAATTAATTCAAGTCTTGATTATGAGGAATGTGCACATAAATTGATGAAAATGCAGCTCAAACCAGGCCAAGAGGTTGAACTCTGTCACATGTTCCTTGATTGTTGTGCAGAGCAACGCACCTATGAAAAATTTTATGGATTATTGGCACAACGGTTTTGTGCTATCAACAAAATTTACATTGAACCATTCGAAGAAATTTTTAAGGACACTTATCAGACAACACATCGATTAGATACAAATCGATTGCGGAACGTGAGTAAATTTTTCTCGCATTTACTATTTACGGATGCCATTAGTTGGGATGTGTTGGAGTGTATCAAGCTAAATGAAGATGACACAACCTCATCTAGTCGAATCTTTATAAAGATACTCTTTCAAGAATTAGCCGAATATATGGGACTGGGAAAGCTTAATACTAAACTCAAAGACAATGTTTTAACCGAGAGCTTAACTGGTCTTTTTCCTAAGGATAATCCTAGAAATACTCGCTTTGCAATTAACTTTTTTACTTCAATTGGCTTGGGTGGTTTAACTGACGAGTTAAGGCAGTTTTTGAAGAATGCTCCAAAATCTGTGCCAGCAATTAATGTTGAAATATTGGCAACAAAACATGGGCAGAGCAGTTCCTCAAGTTCATCATCAACAGGATCATCTTCTTCGTCGGGCTCATCAGAAAGTCGTTCTTCTAGCAATACGTCGGGTTCCAACGATTTTGATGATAATAAAAGGAAAATAAAAGAAAAAATTAATAAAAAAAAGAGCACTTGTAGAGAACATAGCAAGAAAAGGAAGACGTCAAAGTCAAAGGTAATGAAAAACAGAAGGGACAAACGGGACGAAGAGGGTAGCAGCACCTCTGGAGACTTATCTGAATCGATGGATAGCGCTACCTATGGCAGTAGTATTGATAGCAGCAGTAACAGCGACCATGATAATCATAAAACTGATCGAAAGACGAGAGTGGAAAAGTCTAAAGCTACTACCACTAAGAAACAATCAAAATCCTGGAAGACAAATATGGGCAGTTCAGAAGGTCTAAAACGAAACCCTCACAAAACCGTTCGTCAGAGGAAAATCGGGATCTACACTGCGGATCGAATTGGAAGAAAAAATAAGTCGCCTGAAAAAGAATATGAGGAAAGAGAGCTAAAGCGTGAACGTAATAGACGCTTCAAAGAGCGAGATCATTGCTCAAATGGTGAGCGTCGTAAGGATCGGGAGCGCAGACGCCATCACTGTCGAAGTCGCAGTCGCAGTAGAGAACGCGATCGCAGCCGAGGCCGGGACTATTACGATAAACAGAGTGTGAGCTTTCCGCCCAATACATCCAAAGAACGCGGATAACTACTAAACCATCTAATAACTCAACATTAAATTACATAACCCTAATTATTGAGAAATGTCTTTGAGAAAGAAAAAAAATATATGTACATATGTACATGCATTCATATATGTATTTAGCAGATTTATTTCACAGAAATAAATGGTACTAATCTTAGTTGATTATCGGAATATTTATTGATTTAAAATCTACTATTTTTTACACTTTTACAAAATTACGTGTTATCGCTTACGATGTCCTCCAGAAAAGAAGAAAACAACGCAGAGCAAAAAAGAATGTAAAAAAATTAAGATCGAGAAAAAGAGTTTGGCTAGCTTGAAGGGTTGCCAGAGCCTATGTGTAAAGTTCAGAGTGGCCACATTACTCCACCTTTAGACGAGTTCCTAGTCGTTCAGTCTAGTGGGATGATGAACTCGTCGACCGGTTCGGGTTTTCCTTAAAACTGATTGTTGAACGTGTTGGTTTGTGATGTCTTCATCGTTGTNGCGAAAAATCAAAAACAGCATTAGATAAACGATCCAAATAATGAACCACCAACAAAGCTGTTTTTTATTATTGTAAGCCGTTTTGTTTTATTTTGGGAACGGTATTATATAAAAATGGTAGTATATAAAAATATTTGTCCCCGCTCAGGTTATTCCATAATCAAAACGAAGAACAAAACAATGAAAAAATTCGTATTCTTTGTGAGTGGCTACCATAACTTTTATTGTTTTATTCTATTTTTGCCTGACAAATTTTATCCAGAATGTCACTTTCTAAATTTTGCCGTGATATTAACATTCGTAGTTTTGTTTGCCTAAGTGCATTGCAGTTAAAAAGTGCAAGAAGTTATTGATCGAATGACATAAGAAATAACTTAATAAAAANCAACCGATACATTTGTTTTCCTCCGACAACGCAGATCTCGTAGAATTTGCTACTTCTATTTAAAATTTCATAAGGACCATCGNAGTTTTTAAAATATTATTAAATATTTCCGGACCCAACTTAATAAAAAGCAATTATTTTGTGTTTTTAAAATATTATTAAATATTTCCGGACCCAACAGTATAATAGGTAAATGATCAACCCAATGAACAGTATTTTTGCACAAAATGGCTGCTTTTAGCGTTCGGTGCGAACGTTCTGTAAGGTCATTGGCCTGTGGATGATATGAGGTCGTCTTGAGATGATCGATGCCTAGAACTCGGGTTAGCTCAGTAAAAATGTTGCTCAAAAATTGGCCTCCTCTGTCTGAAGTAATGTATGTGGGCACTCCGAAACGCGTGATCCAGTGAAACACTAGTGCATCAACAATTGACGTAGTTGTCATGTCCGGAATCGGGATGGCTTCAGGCCATCGCGTGAACCGGTCAATGATGGCAAGACAGTACCTCTGTCCTTTACAAGACGTGAAAGGGCCAACAATATCGATGTTTATGTGGGTGAAACGTTTATCCGGGAACGCGTATGACTGCAATGGCGAACGCGTGTGCCGGTTGATTTTTCCACGTTGACACTCAATACATGCTCTGGTGAATCTGATGCAATCTCTCTGCATGAATGGCCACACGAATCGTTCTGCTACTTGTTTGTCAGTCGAGTGCGTGCCATGATGTGCAAGGTTATGTATAGATAACATCACTTATTTTCGAAAAGTTAGTAATAGTTTGTTGGTTCCCGGTACCGGAAACTGTTTGAGAGACAGTGAAATTTTACCTTAATAGTGATTTTGCAGAACAGCCTGAGCTCTTCGTCGTTTGTTTGGTTGTCTGCTAAGGCGCTGAAATCTAGAGACGGTGCAAGTTGAACTGATTCAATGCGTGAAAGATTAGCTGTGACATTAGACGGACCCTCAACGTGTCTAATGTCGGTGGTAATTTGACCAATAGCGTCGAGTTGTCGAGCTTGGCGACGCGAAGCCTTCCCCAGCTTTTGCCGGAACGCGTACGTTAAGGGTTTATGGTCGGTGTATATGTGGCTATTTCGACCCTCCAACATGTACCGAAAGTGTGGAACAGCCATGTAAATGGCAGTTAATTCGCGGTCATAAGTACTGTACCGGACCTGTGCTTTGTCCGCGAGAAATACCCCAGGGGTTGAATATCGCCATTGACAATCTGGTGTAAAACTGCACCGGCAGCGAAATCGGATGCATCCACCCATAAGCATAACTCAGCTTTTTTTGTGGGTGTGCTGTGAATTCGCGTATCGATTGCTTTCGGAATAAACCGCCGATAAAAATTTATCATGGCCAAGAATCGCTTTAATTCCTTTACAGTATTTGGCAATTTGAAATTTTTAATGGCCGCTACCCGCTCCTTAATCGGCATAATTCCTTTTTCTGAAATTTCATGACCCAGAAAGACCAGTTTCGTAACCGTTCGAACAATAAGCGTAAGTGTTTTTGGTGTTCACTTAAATCGTTAGAGGCGACGCAGATGACATCGACATAGGCGAATACGAAGTCTAAACCCCGCACAACCTGGTGAATTAGACGTTGAAATGTTTGCGCCGCGTTGCGCAGGCCAAACGTCATGAAAGGGAATTCATACAGTCCGAAAGGCGTTGTTATTGCAGTCTTCTGAATGTCCTCGGGATGAACGGGAACCTGGTGGAAGGCCTTTTGTAAATCAACCTTTGAAAAAACTGATTTGCCGCAAAGGATTGAAGTAAAATCCTGCAGAAACGGGAGCGGATATCTATCAGGAATAGTGATCGCGTTTAGTGCGCGATAGTCGCCGCAAAGTCTCCATGTTCCGTTTGATTTTGGAACCATGTGCATCGGACTCGCCCAGTAGCTGGATTAGGGTCGGCAAATACATAGTCGCAGCAATTCGTCGATTTCACGTTTGGCAGCTTGAAGCTTTTCAGGCGACAGTCGCCTTGGGCGCGAAAATACAGGCTGGCCGGATGTTTTGATATGGTGGGTGATATAAAATTCGGCGAAGTTGCCTGGTTTTTGTTGAGTAGTGAGGTCTATGTAGTCTTTCAAAACCTGGGGTAATGACAAAGAAGCGTTAAACGATTTAATTAGCATACCTGGTATGTTTGAGGGTTCTCAATTTGCTTGTAGATTCGTTGAATTATCTATAAGACGTTTGCGTTTAACGTCGATAATAATCCGTAATGTTTCATAAAATCAGCACCTAAGATGCACGTGTTTATGTCGGCGATCAGAAATTTCCATTCGAAGCGGGGGTGTAGTCCAAGGTTGAGCTTGAGCATCGTTTCGCCGAATACTTTAATTTCTGTTGCATTAGCTGCGTACAGCCGCATGTTGGTTGTGTTGACTTTCGCGAATTTGAAGGCTTGTGGGAGCACAGAAACGTCCGCTCCTGTGTCGATTAGAAATTTAAAGTTGTTGCATGTGTCGGCGATTTTGAGACGGTTAATTGAAGCTGTGTGATGACGTTCGCGTTTGTTAACAGCAGCTTTAACGGGTTGTATGTGTCATTACTTCTTAGGCATGTTCGAAAAACAGCAAGGCTTGCGACAGCTTCGAGCATCGTTACCATATGTAAGATGATACCAGCAAATTTCTCTACCTGTGTTGGCACGCTGAGATTCTCGTGGAAGATTTCGTACACGGTTTCGTACTGCATCGCAGTTGGCGGTGTAATTATTCAGCTTTTAAGACAGTTGCTCTACTTCGAGCTGTAACGTTTCAAGTGCTGATTTGTTTTCGTTGCTGTTTTTATCACTAGCTACCGTTCGTAAGTGCGAATCTGAATAACAAGTTTCACCGAGGTTTAGTGATTCCACGATGTCGTCCGCAATCTTGCCTTTTCTTATTATTTTATGCTCTGATGCGATAATTGCAGCTCGTGCTTGAGCATATTTTCGCTGAGAGATTGTCCAGAAACGCGTTTCAATTCTCAAAGCAATTGACTCGGCTTTAAGTCGCGAAGCGGCATCTCGGATAAAACTTTTTGTAAACGACGTTGCTGGCTTTCTGCAAAATGATGAATTAGCTTCTCTTTGATATAATCGTATTTATTTTTTTGGGGTAATTCGCTGATTATACTTTGTAGCTCCATCGATTTTCCATATTATATTTTTTCAAGTCGGATATAACGCCTGAGGCCGCAAACCAAAACTCTAACGACATGAAGTACGACCCGATGTGAGTATCGGCTATGCTTGGTGGATTCATCTTTGGGATTGCAAAATTTGCTCCCACGTGTTGTTCGTCATTAGAAATAACCGTAGCAACGCCTCCGGAGTGGTGGTTTTGGTTGCCATCGGCGGAATCTTTACCTTCCATATTCGCTCAAGTCGGGGTCACCAATTTAGCAGATTTATTTCACAGAAATAAATGGTACTAATCTTAGTTGATTATAGGTATATTTATTGATTTAAAATCTATTATTTTTAACTTTTACAAAATTACGTGTTATCGCTTACGATGTCCTCCAGAGAAGAAGGAAAAAACGAAGAGCAAAAAAGAATGTCAAAAAATGAAGGTCGAGAAAAAGAGTGTGCTAGCTTGAAGGGTTGCCGGAGTGGCCACATGTATACATACATAATAGTATATGTATCATATTAACTGCCAGTTTTATCAGCAATTTAAATGAAAAATGATTTTTTCGTTTCTGTAAGTTCTCATAAGTTCTCAGTTCTGGTGGTAAACGAGGACAATACGAAGTATCTCCTGTCATCAAACAAACAGTCAGCAAATTCGCGCCTTGACACCCACGTCACTGTTGACAGTTACAATTTCGAGAGAGTAGAGAATTTCGTTTACTTGGGAACCAGCATTAACACCGATAATAATGTCAGCATTGAAATCCAACGTAGAATCACTCTTGCCAACAAGTGCTACTTTGGACTGAGTAGGCAATTCAGGAGTAAAGTCCTCTCTCGACGTACGAAAACCGCGCTCTATAAGTTACTCATCATGCCCGTGCTGGTATATGGCGCAGAAGCATGGACAATGACAACATCCGATGAGGCGGCTCTTGGAGTGTTTGCGAGAAAGATTTTGCGGAAGATTTACGGGCCTTTACGCGTTGGCGACGGCGAGCACCGCAGACGATGGAACGATGAGCTGTATGAGCTTTACAACGATATGGACATAGTGCAGCGAATTAAAATACAGCGGCTCCGCTGGCTTGGTCATGTCGTTCGAATGGACACCGACGCTCCAGCTCTGAAAGTATTCAACTCGGAACCCGCT